TACTCTCCCTGACGTGGCCCGGTTTGAGGGAAGCATACTAGACATTTCCCCAGAAGTAAACCGAAAAGACTTCTGGAAATCCATAGCCCCTGGTGCCGGTGATTACAAACCCCAGACGGCACCCAGCACTGCACTTCACCCATTCCAGTTCCGGGTGGTCCATGCCCTCCTTAGCTCTACTGTTTCAGGACGCGCAGAGCTTAGTGGCAAAGTCTCCGCCACTGATCTTTTCTGCCTCTGGTGCATGATCAACGAGAGGAGGCCGATATTTGGAGCCCTATTCGCAGGCCTGTTCCTCAGACAGGCGAATTATCGAGTTAAGGCGATTTTCGCCGGTCCTTACATCACGCGCCTGCTGAAGGGGATGGGTTACGAAGACCGATTTGAGGGGATGACCCGGATAGATAGCAGCCATCCGATGAAGAAGCTGCCTAAGATTATCCCGGTGAGGATACAGGAACAGGGCGCAGGAGCGGCAGAGGGGGAGCATGGAGGCAATGAAGAGGAGGATGACGAGCATGAACACAAGCATGGAGAGCGCGAGATGGAGCACGAGATGGTGCACGAGGTCCCTTATGTGCCCCCTCCCCAGGGTTACGTTTATCCCAACACCTGGGAGGGGATGCATCAGCATCAAGAAGACACCTACATGCGACTCTACCAGCACCAGCAACAGTTTTTCGCTGACATCACCTCTGGCCTAGCCTCGATCGACACGCGGCTGACAGCCCTGGAGAGTCGATGGGATGGCCAACACCCTCACGAGCACTACCCACCCCCTCCCCCTTTTTAGATTTTTACATGATATTTTATGACACTGATTCACCGCATACTTTATCACTTTGTCAATCTTGTTTGTGGATTTTGGATTCCGTATTTATATTCTTTTGTGAGTGCAGCTTTGTTTCGGGAAAAATCTTACTGAGCGGCAATGAACGAGGTAGCGGTAGAGGGCGGACCAGCTAAATGACCTAGGGGAGTTTTTTTTGTTCCTTACTCGCTTCCATACACCCGTTTTTAATTTTGACTTGAGTTAGGTTTGAGCACGTGTGACCCTTTCCTCTTTACCCCCTTGTGCATAGTGCATATTTGGTCATCGAGGGCGATGCCAAAGTTTAAGTGTGGGGGAGTGAATTGGGCAGTCGGGCAGTAGTTGTTACATGTGATTATTAGAGTTAGCATGCGCAGGTGTTAGTTGTATATTCATAGGAAATTCATGACAAATTTTTGAAAATTTTTCTTTAAACTGTGTCTTTGTGAGCTGCTTAGCGTTTTGACTATGCTTTTGGAACATTTTTGAATTGTTTAGGCTTAAATTGTTTGCACTATAATCTAGTTGTTGAAAGGATGAAGGCATTAGTCACCCATTGAATGAATTCATAAATTTTCCATCCCACCTGAAAAAGTCCTTTAGGAGAAGCCATTTTGAGCCTAACCATTCCTTGTTTACCCAATTAATTGTGCTCCATAGCCAAATGGCCTGTTTTCTTACCCGTGAATATTTCTAACTTAGTCTTAATGTTTAGGGAATTAGGGTATTAATTTGTTAAGTTTAGGGAATTTGTGTAGGAGCCATTTTGGCACTGTTCCTATGCCCCAAATGGGGTAAGAGCAGTCACTTTTTAGGAATTTGATACTTTTGAGGATTGCATTGTAGGCATGGATTCACATTAATAAATGAACTTTAACTGCTATTTTTCCTTTGTGAGGCCGAGATTAGAATGGGGTAATGTCTAGTAAGAATCCGAAAGGTGAAAAATTAATATAGCTACACCTCTTACCTTGCGAAAAAGAGAATGGGAGCCCGGGTCAAAAAGCGTAAGTGTTTTGCACAATAAGATGAGACTTGGGTATCTTTCGAAAGAAATGGCGTTCTCGTGCCAACATGACAAGGAAAACTAAACATAATTAATGAACTTGGAGGCTATTGAAAATTAGCTTTAGTTCTCCGCGTACTTCAAGTATACGTCAAAGCACCAACGTGCCGCGGCGGTTTAGCTTAGTTGTACACCATGTCTACTCTTTGCATAGGTTTAGATGATTGTTCCTAAATTGTGGCCTACTGAGTTCCTTGATCCTAAGAATAGCCCTGAAGTTCCCGAATGCATTAAGTCTTTGTTAGAATATTTCCATCTCTCAAAAGAAAGGGATCGTTTATTACCATTCACCATTCACCATCACCTTCACAAGTCGTTCTGATTAATAACTAGTTTATTTGTGTATGCTGTCATTACTTTAAGGATGTTGTGAATAATTTTGTCAAATAGTTTAGCTTGAGTACAAAGATGTAGTTTAGGGAAGAATTTTCCTGGTTTAGATTGTCTGTTCTGTGAATATCCCTTTAACTGCGTGTGCATGCTAACTGTTTTGATTCCGTGTGGTGATTATCGTAAGTCCCATTGTTCGATTTGCTTGAGGACACGGACTCCTGATGGAGTATATGGCCCGGGACACCCCGACCCACAGACTCCTGCTTCTTCTACACAGGCCCATCAAGCCTGATGAGCACACAAAGCCTAAACGTAGCAGCCCAAGCATGAAGAAGCCCACACTGCACACGTGGATGCCTTCGGCCCTATGGCCGAGGGCTCCAAATTCTGGGAGACGTCTTAATATGGTCCTGCAAAGCTTCTGGAAAATCCTGGATAAAATGTTAGCCTTCGGCCACCCGATGCCTTTGGCCATCCGATGCCTTCGGCCACACAATGCCTTCGGCCACCCGATGCCTTCGGCCACACAATGCCTTCAGCCACCCGATGCCTTCGCCCCCCCGATGCCTTCGACCACATGATGCCTTTGGCCACATGATGCCTTCGGCCACACGATGCCTTTGGCAACAGAACTATTGACGAAGATTCCTTTTAGAGACAGCCAACCATCGCATTTAATACGACGTCACATCCACCCACCGCATTTAATGCGGTGCACATGCATATGTCGGTGCCACCCCGATTGAGGTGACCCCTCGGCCGTTAGATTGTTGACACGTGTACTCTCATCGCATTTATAGCTGTTATAAATAGCAGCCCTTATTCATCTTGTAAAGGACAACGAGTTCATTTAATACATTTGACTCTCTCTCTTACTTACTTGCTCTGACTTCTCTCTAGGTTATTCACCGTAATAACCCCTCGGATAAGCTACCCCCCGGGTACACTATCCATCAACTAGATACCTCCAATTTAGCTCTCAATGCCCTCTGGCTAGTCAACAATGCCCTCATCGAGCTCTTTTGGCTCAAGGCATCCGCTACCACGTTGGCCTTACCGGGGTGGTACTCAATAATTAGATGGTAGTTTTTATCAACTCCATCCAGCGCCTCTGTCTCATGTTTAGCTCTTTCTGAGTAAACACGTATTTCAAGCTCTTATGGTCATTGTATATGTGACATGTCCCGTGTAGAGATAATGTCTCCAAATCTTCAGTACAAATACCACTGCCCCCAGCTTTAGGTCTTGAGTAGGACAATTTACCTCACGTTTCTTCAATTATCGTGAAGCATAGGCAATCACCCTCCCATTTTACATCAACACACATCCAAGATCTTGGATGCTCGCATCGCTATAGACATCGTACCCCATACCCTGTTTGGGTAATGCAAGTACTGGTGCCTCGATCTATCTCTTCTTTAGTTCTAGGAATCCCTTCTCACATCGGTCATCCCATACGAACTTAGCCCCCTTTCGAGTGAGTTTTGTCAATGGCGATGCCAGAACTGAGAACTTCTCCACGAACTTCCTGTACTAACATGCCAATCCGAGGAAACTACGAATTTCCTTGGCGTTCTATGGCCTCTTCCATTCGGTAATGGATTCAATATTCTTGTTATGATATCCACGGCAATTCTCGATCCCGAGACTACATGACCAAGAAAGCCAATCTCCCTTAGCCAAAATTCACACTTGGAAAACTTAGCATAGACTTGTTTATCTCATAGTGTCGCAAGAACGAGTACTAAGTGCTCCTCATGATCTTCTTCACTCTTTGAGTAAATCAAGATGTCATCTATGAACACAATCACGAACCGATCTAAGTATTTATGAAATACTCGGTTCATCAAGTCCATGAATGCCGTCGGTGCGTTTGTTAGCCCAAACGACATGACTAGGAACTCGAAGTGATCATACCTTGTGCGGAAAGCACTCTTCGGTATGTCATCCTCCTTTATCTTCAACTGATGGTACCCCGACCTCAAGTCAATCTTCGAAAACACTGTTACTCCTCGGAGCTGATCAAACAAGTCATTAATCCTAGGTAAAGGATACCTATTCTTGATTGTGACCTTATTCAGTTGACGATAGTCAATACACATTCGAAGCGTCCCATCTTTCTTTTTCATAAATAGCACTGGTGCTCCCCACGGGGAGTATCTCGGCCTTATAAAATTGTTATCAAATAGTTCTTGCAATTTGGTTTTCAACTCATTAAGTTCAGCGGGTGCCATTCGGTACGGTGGTATAGAGATTGGTTTGGTGCCGGGCTCAACCTCGATCACGAACTCGATCTCTCTATCGGGTGGAAGTCCCGGTAAGTCTTTTGGGAAGACGTCCGGATACTTACACACTACCCTCACATCATTTATGTCTACCTCCTCTTTGGTTTTATCCACCACGTATGCTAGATATGTGTGGCATCCCTTTCTCATCATATTCCTTACTCTCACAGCGGATATGATGCAACTGTTTGATTTGCCTCTATCTCCCTCAAAGCGTAGGGTCAATCCTTCACCACTTTCGAGTTCAAGAACCTTCGTGTAACAAACCCTATCATGATGTTTCTCGAGCCAATCCATCCCGAGGATCGCGTCGAACTCAATCATACCAGTGGTACCAAGTCACACGTCAAGGTTTGACCCTACACTTCCACCTCACATGATGGAAAATGGCTATTTCTTTCGATATCATCCCCCAAAGGTGTGGATACCAATAGGGTTTGAGTTAGTGGTACAAGTGGTACGTCGAATCCCCCGGCGAACGCTTCACTCACAAATGATCGTTGCGCCCCGGTATCGATAAGGATTCTCGCACTTCTCCCATTAATCTTTAGTGTTCCTACATTTATAAGACATGTAAGATACTTTTCTAACATATCAGATCTTATTTTTCTTCTTCTAAGAAAGGAATTGAAAAGAAGGTGGAAGGGATCGCTTATAAGGCTACTTTTGCTATGTTTTTGGAACTTCGTACAACCCGTATTCGTATTGTTATCATTTCATTGTGTATGATGGTCCAATAATACTCATGAGAGTTCCATTATATCTAAACATAACATACCAACAACTCTTATCAAGAACATAATTTGAAATTATGTCCTTAGAGTGGACATATTGCTCAACGATGGTTGACGTTCACAGTTGAGATATAAATTGGCACCGTCTCACCGTTTTTATCATATATCTTCACATACTTAACCAAATCATTCTATTCAAATTCCATCATTTAGAGAATGAAAATATCTACAACTTTCATGAAGACAACTCTTTCATTTGACGAACACATCGAGGTTTACCTGGTCGGTTAACTTACGATACCCGGTCGGGTATGAGTTCCTGTGGATAATCTCTCACTCTACCCGACCTGGTAGCACGTCGGGCAAAAATTTCCATCATACCCGGTCGGATATATCACCATACCCGGTCGGGTATGTGTTCTAGTGGGTAATCTCCTACTCTACCCGGCCTGGTATTTCAGGCGGGTAACGTTTCCAGTAAGAATTTTCAGTATACCCGGTCGGCTAACCTAATATACCCGGTCGGGTATGTGTTCCCGAAGACTTACGACGCCAAAAATCCCCCATACTCGGTCGGGTATCAGCCCGTTCCTTCCTGATTTCCCCCACTTTGATCCTAAGTATGTTCCCATCTGATCCCTGGGCTTTATAACTTCAAATATGGATGAAGAATGGATAAAACACGAGAAGTTAAGCGGTTATACCTGCAACCGAATCTGGGTTAGCTCGAGCATTCGCCTCCGTCATTGCATAGATCCTAGCTTGGGTCCTTCCTTGGTTCACGGAGGGTGCGTTGCTTGTACTTGCCCCCGCTGTGACCCACACTTGCATTTGGCACCCCACCCCGGCTTCTACTCACTGTGATTGCATTGCTTGGCCCTGGTGCCTAGTTCCCACCAAGTTGAGGACAGTTTGGCCTTATGTTCCCCGTATCTTCGCATTGGTAGCACCGTGGGGGATCACGACATTTGCTCTCGTGATTTCTCTTGCAATTCCTGCACTTAGGCTTCGCTGAGGTTTGTGACCCCGAATTTTTCCCACCCATGCTGGGATTCCCCCTCGATGGTGGTGCCGGTGTCTTGAAAACTCCTCCTCCCCCATGGTTCCCCTTTTTGTTAGAACCTTGGGGGCTGTGGTTTTCCCACTTTCTCTTCTTCGCCTCCTCGGCGTTTTTCAGCTTCCTTTCCTCCCATTCTATTTATCCGTTCAAGCCTTGCTCAACTACTTGACTGAACGTCATGTTAGGCAATTGTGTTGCCCTCTCACGCACGTCCAAGTCCAAGGCATTCCAGAAATGGATCACCATCCGATTCTCATCGCAAATGTACTCCAGAATGAATTCAGCAAGTTTTCTGAACTTGTGCTCTAGTTCTTTCACAGTGCATTGACCTCCTTGGGTCAAGTTCGTGTACTCCCTCCTCTTCATGTTTACTTCGAAGTCGGAGTAGTATTGGTTAAAGAACTCTTGTCGGAAGTTCTCCCAAGTGACGACCTCACCGTACTTCCCTTTAATTACATTCCTCCACGTGGACGCCATGCCTTCTAGCAACATCGTTGCTACTCTCATTTTCATGTTTGGCGGCAGCTGCATGTCAAGGGCCGCCTCGTTAAATCTTTTGATCCATTCAAACGCAATGGAGATGTCTCCCATTCCATCGAACGGTTTGCACCCCAAATCCCTTGCTTCTTTTAGGTATTTCGAGATCCTTATTATTGGGACCTCGACACCTCTTCCCCCTCGGGGTTCCTCATGTCCCCTAGGGCTAACACGGCTTCCTCTTCTGGAAGCCCCTCCCGAAGCACGCCTTGCCCGACACCTTTGGCGATCTTGTTGGTATTGCCGAAACAATTCCTCAATCCTCTTGAGAGCGTTATTATCATCGCTCTCTTCACTATCGTCATCATAATCCCCATCCTATGGGGTCTCAACTGGCTCAGTTCCCGGTTGATAAGTTGAATCCTCCTCGGATTCATAGAACTCGTCTGTGGTCTCCACGTGACCGTCGCTCACGGTCTCAGCTTGGCCTCCACGGCCTTATCCCCTGAACACTCTAGAAGCCCCTCTACTGCCGCGCTCGGAGCCTCCCGGTGCCCGGCCAGACGGGTTTCTCCTAGTTACTTTCCCGGTATGCTCCATTTCTGAAAGAATTTGAGAGTGAGTCATTAGACTCGTATCAAGTGTCAATTGACGGATAGGTACTTAAACACATCCTTTGGCTCAAATCATCATCATACCAATTGTTAAGGGTACCATCTTAACAAATAGAGACATTGCATCTCAAGTACCAAAAGTTCTATAAGTACAAAACTTCTTATGCTCATGGTTTTCAAATTCATTTTCAAACAGAATTTTGAAGCTTCATTATGATGTTTACGGACTAAGGCTCTGATACCAATTAAATTGTCACGCCCCGGACCCACCTGGACATGTCAACAATCCGCCGTATAGTACGAATAGTCAACAGCAGTTCAACACATCCATACTATACAAGTCGTCTCGAATATCATTCACACATAGTACATCCATAAACAAACATGATGTAAAACATTCATTAAAGCAGCGGAAACATTAATACAAGTGTTCAAGCCACACTAGGCAAACTTAGCCATACAAGCCCTCAAATAATTATTCAAAAAATAATATCCATGAGCATTATTCGTATTGTTTTCAAAACAGGAACGGAAGAAGCACGAACCAAGTCTTCTTCCTTTGATCTCCCTGAAGCAACGGGCGGTGGTAGCAACATTCAAGTTCTACATGAAAGTGTGAGGTGGCCTCCCCCGTGAAGGGGAGGTCACTACTTTGAAGCATTTGAAAAGTACAATGACAACTACACTGTATATATAATCGATGTTTCAATTTTCTAAGACCCTCAATCTAGGGTGATACTATATTATAGGCCGTAACTCTCGGTTACCCTATTTAAAACCTACTTACCTTATATATAAGATCAAGTAGTCAGTTCGTGGGCCCATGCTTACCCTATCACATCTTTTCACCATGGTAGAGTCACACTCATTGATATCATTCCGTCGTGCTAGAGGCTGACTCTAGTCACTCCATTTCGTGCTAGAGGCTTCTCCTAGTCACTCTACATTATGCTACAGGCTTCCTCTAGGCATTTCTCGTTGTGTTAGAGGCTTCCTCTACTCACTCTTCATTATGCTACAGGCTGACTCTAGTCATCTTACATTGTGCTAAAGGCTAACTCTAGTCACCTTCCCATATGTTAGAGACTTCCTCTAAATCATATCATTAAGATTCCTTAACAACTTCTATGCCTAGGATCACTTTATATTGAGTAGCATTGGAGGCCTACTCCTAGCTTAACTTAGCATTCACACATTCCTAACTTAACGTATCTCATAAGACTACTTAAGGTATATCTTTCACAATCCAAGCCATTAGGATTTACTCTATCATTTTTCATACTAACATTCCAACTAGTATTTCATTACTAGTCAAATAATCCTAGAACAACCAAGTTCTTAATTCATAGTCATATTGCTCATCTCAATTGATTTTCCATTCCAAATATGATTTAACCCCCAATATAAAAAATATCACTTTTATCCATTCATGATTTCTTTACATGAAGTAAAAGTATATTTTATCACCGTATTTCACAATTTATTTCATTATCATGCTATCATATTCATAATACACAATCATACACAATTTCTTCTAAATTTGTATATCATGCTTCATTTACTCATATGCAATGGTATTTTCATTTAGACATTATTAATCATTAATAATCCATGAAAATCACATTTAACACTTTAGGTAATCTTATGAAATTAACTTACTAATTATAAGCAATATAGCCGGTCATCCTCACCTCGAATGAGCTTTAAGAAGTTCTACCCTTCTTGGTTGAACTCCGACGAAACTCCAGAGAACTCCGGCGATACTCCGGCGATACTCCGGAAATATTTAGGAACACCATAGTCAAGCTTCTAATAAGGTTTTATCATCACAAAACCCATATCAACCCAAATAACCCCTAAAAGATTATTTTTCGGCGAACCGGTCACTATGGCTTCTAAGTCCGTTCTTGAACCTAGAACTACCTTCCAATCCCTCATTCTACACTTCTAAACATGTAGAATATTCCTAGGGGTCCTCAATATGATATATAAGTCATATGAAGAATAAAAAGTAAAAGGAAAAGTCATTATAAGGTCATTACCTTAATCCTTCACACTTTTCCCTAGCTTTTTCATTCTTAAATCTTCCTCCTTGGACCTCTATTGCTTGATCTCGAATTTGCAGCTATGGAGGAGGATATTTTGAGCTTATCTCTCACTTCTTGGATGGCTGGGTCGAGCTAGGTGATTGGAGGGGAGAGGAGATGTTCACTTTTGTCTCAAATGACAAATGAGTGAGGGTGGGGGGTCCTCCATGGTACTTTTGATGCCAAATGCATCTCCTCCACATTTTATTAGTCAACACCAGCCCCCTCACATTAATTTGAGCACACAAAACGTGGGGTGGCCCCCACTCATGTGGGAGGTCATCCCTTTGTGTCCCAATCTGAACAATCGGTCCCCAAAGTTGTATTTTTCGGACTGTTTTAATTATATTTTATTTTATCGGGTCAAATAAAATATAACATATGTTCCAAAACATTAAAGGCCTTTAGAATGGATGTACATTCCCAAACTTATATTTAGAAGTCTCCGAAGTTCATTTCGGGTTGTTATCCGATAAATTACCAATACCGGTAATTGGGCCTCGTTTGACCAACGGGTCAACTCTATGCTCTTTCTATGGCCCAACTAAAATATCCACCACCATATACATCATATCTATATCAAGATTAATATAATATGTGGTTCTGGAATTATTGGGTGGTCTCCGTTCCCGGTGCGGGCCCCGCGTGCGATTCACTATTCACACAAAAGAAATAACAAAAATTTACAACTTCGCAAATTCATAACTCATTCTTGAAGGTTTAATACATGATTTACTGAATAAAATATGTTTGGGGACGGTGTTACCTATTGCATATGGCTTCAATAGTGAAGCTAAGTCTTGGTAGTGACATGTTAGGGTATTTTACTCGACTTTTAACATAACAAGTCACACATCAACTCACTTTTTAAAAATATTTTAAAATATTTTATAATTTTATTTCCCAACAAGTCCCACTCAAGTCAGAGAGTCCCAACAAATATTTTAAGTAGCTTTTGATTTCAATATTTTAATTAAAACGATATTTATCAAACAATTAATCATTTAGAAACTTATTTATGCATAAAAGAATACCCTTGGCAGAATATAATTATGGGTCCATTAATATTCATGCATTGTCCAATTCATTATGGGTCTGCTGATATTATTCATGTCATCATCAAATAAATTACTCTCAACAAAAATCTAATCAAAATTTGATTAGAAAAACTACCTAGATCATCTCCATTACAAAAATATGCACACTCATATGTATATGAGCGATCAATATACACATAAAATAGATTGATGTCATTTCTCTCTCCTTATTTCAACGTACAGTTTTATCATTTTTTGGTAAGATTTATCAATAATGTCAAATATAACATCAGTGTAGACATTGTGTTTGATATTGTTAATACAAAGTTATCAAAAATAGATAAGACCGTAGAAAGATGGTGAGAAATGTCATAAATATATTTCAATGAATCTCTCTCATGTGACATATGCATTGTGCACATTGTTGCATTTAAGTATCTATTTGTCATTCTATAGTTAGTAATACATTCCATCAATAAGTGATAAACAATGCTCTATCTGTTTTTAGATTAGTCAAAAGATAAGTAGTTGAATGAGATTCAAAATGCGGGTTATTTTTCCACTATTCTCAGACCAAGAATCCTTCTTATGGTTGGTTGAATCCATGCGTGAGGAGTTCATGTATGAAGCCGACCGATTCAATGAAATATTTTTTTCAGCCAATATAGTGTTTAAATGAAAGAGATGCTCAAAACAAGGACCCTTATCATTAGTATAGATGCTGCTAGAGTTTGAAGAAGAGAAGAATAAAGATGATAAGGTCTTGTTTATGAATGAATTAAGATGTATTTGGAACGACACTATTTGATGGAGTTCGAAAAGAAGAACACAACTCTATCAAGTATGAAGTGCATGAGAGATAATCCCAAGTAACATGTTATATTTTAGGGATGATCGAGAAGTATGATATGTCTAAGTAGGAAATCTCAACTCAGAAAAGGAATTCAAACACTAAAATGGAGAGTAATTGAAGAACAAAGGAAGAGTTTATTCATGGAATCATTTTTTAGTGTGTACTTCCGGAATCAATGAGTATATGGAGTTCATTATGTTTCACCTTTCCAGTGACTCTCATTGTTTGGTAGTTATTACAATCAGACAGAGCATTCAAGGATATCAACGGCTGATTTTCAGGCAGAATAGTCTCTTGAGAGTCATTTTCATACCAGTTCTCAGTAGATTCTGAAGTTTCTCCCATCATAGCTTCCTCCGTCTGACTATCTTCTTCCATTGGAATAAATTGAATCTTATAAATAAGAGTTTTACATTTATGTCCCGGGAAAACTGTTCATCATAATGGAAGCATAGATTTTCCCTTCTTTCTTCCACATCTATTGGCACGGGTAACCTCTTTCCTGTCTTTTCCTTGCAAAAAGATGCAGATTGTACTGGATGAAGGAGTAAACCTACTGATATAGGGGCCATTGGATGAACAAACTTGGGGTTAACAATTTTGCAAGCTATACCTTTCCTTTTTGAAAGCATTGAGGCTATTTTCTTGTAATGGGACATACTGCATAGCTTGCAGAAGAGTTCTTGGTTTAAAAGCTTTCACAAAATGCTTGATGGTAGGGTTTAAGACCCCAATAAAACTGTCTAACAGAAACTTGTCTGACAAATAATCATTTCTTTGCAACAGTAGACTCTTAAGATGTTCAAAATGATCAAAGTATTCATCCAAGATAATTTAACTATTGCAGTTTATTGAAATCCTCCACAACACTCCTTCCTAGTTCCTCATTGAACCTA